TATATATATATATATATATATATATATATATATATATATATATATNTAAAACTATAACTATTTCCCGCGGTTCCTCTTCGATATCCGCGAATTTTTAACCAAATCGAACGTATCCTTACGCGACGCACGTATTTTTAACCCGGCGCGTTCCATCTCCCATTCCATAACCACGAGATGCCTGGCCTAGAATGGAAAATAAAACTTTTGCTCACCTCGAGTCCGTTCATGCCGGGATTTCCTCGAACCCCCTTCACGCCCACGGAATTGATGCCCCCGTCGCCGGGTTCGCCGATGGGCCCGTAATCTCCCATCGGCCCCGGTGGACCACGTTCGCCGTGGACACCGGGTATCCCTGGTGAACCGGCACGTCCATCGGTCCCGTTGCACCCGTCCAAACCGTCTGGTCCCATTACACCGGGTGAACCGGCTTTACCCTGCGGCCAAACGTTTAATTATTCCCTTCTATTTCGCCTTTACTCGCCGGAATAAAGCAGCCTCCTCTTTTAACTCGTCCCTCGAGGATCGTCTCGTTCTTTCGCCTTTTCCCCCGCAAATTCTACATTACAATTGTTTCTACGAGGAAATCAGTGGGGGGGGAGGGAAACGTTTCTCGTATTCGACTTTTTCGAAAGGGAAATTTGAAATTATCGTAGTCGTTGCTAGATCGCTTTCATTTCGACGAAATGATTTATATAATGTATTTGGAAATTGGTAATTTGAGCGATCTAGACGACGGAGGAAAAAATTGGAAAATTCGAACGAGGCTCGAGTGGAAAAATTGAAACTCGACGAAGCAACTTTTAATGGAATGGAGATGTGCGTACGAACCGGTAGTCCTGCGGCTCCGGGAAAACCTTGTATACCTGGCTCGCCCTGCAAACCAATAAAAAATTAAATTATAATTTTTCCACGAATTATTTAACGTCAACCGTACGTTTCTTCAACGCGAATGATAAAAATTGTGTTGCACGCACGTTTCTCCGTCGCTCTCTCGTCCAAATAAAAATAAATTCCACGATTACGCGTACACCGCCTACGTTATTTATTCAAATAACGTCCGTCGCAATTGCGCGCGATTATTCCATGGTGTGGTATGCAATTGATTCGTTGGAAGGCCATCTAATCGGAGTTGCAACTGCAACTCTGAATGCGCTTCCTCATCTCTCAGCGTTCGCGGTTGAAAACGCGATTCCGTTGTGCATAAAATAAAGCGCGTTTGTTAGCAATTACCAATTGCGCTCGCAAACGTATCGTCCCTACCTTTAACGCCGTTTTATAATTTTATTTTTTATTTTTTTTTTTTTTTCTTTCTTCCGACAAAATCGTCGAAACTTTCGTTCGAAAACTTGTCACGTTTGAAGTTCTCGCGTAATTAGAACCGTTCGATCGAAACGATTTCAACAATGATTTCAATCCTCTTGTAACGCGTTACGCGTTGACACGTTCGTTAAATTCGTTTTGTTTAAAATCGTTAATACGTCGCGCCGATAACTTTCAATGTAACGCATTTGATAAAATACTTTTAAACAACCGTTAATCTATGGTAAATAAACGCGAAACCACGCCGATCCTTTTGGCAAAATTAATTGGCACGATTAAAATTGCAGTGTTTCCTACGTGTTTCACGTTTACAGAAATTTGACGGAAATTTGACCGATTCTTTTCGCGATACGAACTTTGTTCTTTTTTTTTTTTTTGTTAGAAAAATAGCCGGATAAAATTTTTTAAAAAGTCGCGACGTGGATATTGGTTTCTGCATCCATAACAGAGATACAAAATATCCCGTTTGGACGGGAATTATTCGTATCGCGACGGTGAGGTATTTTACTTTTATTGTAACTATACGTGATCGATGGAATAAATAATTAGAGCGTAAAGTTTGTGGGAAAAAATTAGGCCACAAATTTAATCCGTATCCCGCTCTCTTTAATCTTTGATATAAAAGCGTGGTAAATAGTATTGGGAAAAAAGTAGATGAAAAAATGATACACACTTGGCTACTTGACTACCATTACGATATATATATGTACGTTTTCAACCCCTGGATATATTTCAAAGAACCTGTTAAGAACCACTTTAACACCGTAGCGCTCAACCATAATAATCCCTCGCATCTGGATGGCTAATAATAAGAAGGAAGAAAAGAAGCGAGCTTTTTCCTCTCGCGATTACTTCGACAAACGATGCGCGTGCACACCGTGTTTCGCGCGTTTCGTGAAAAAAAAGAAAAGAGGCAGTAATTTGCAAGCTCGCAATTCCGTCAAACTTCGAATTAAATCCGCATTTAATTAAAATGTACGCCTTCGGTCGCGATTAATTAACCCCGACAATGTTAACGCGTCTTTTTCATCACGGTATCGAACGGAGAAGCAAGAGAGAGAGAGAGAGAGAGAGAGAGAGAGAGAGAGAGAAGAAGAAGTAGGTAAAGTAGTGAG